ATAATAAAAAATAAAAATATTAAAATACTTGTTAAATAACCTTTAGGCTCCCAACTCTAGCCCTGAAGGCAGAGTCCAGGCCCCAGTGCAGAACCAGGTCTCCCTAACCTCAGGTCAGAATCCCAACAGCCCCAGAGGCTGGGGCTTTCTCGGGGCCCCTGTTTAGGGAAGCGATGAGCCTTTCAGGAAGCTATGAGGTGCCTCACTGTCACCCAGAGACATGCAGTGGCACGCACAGATGGCACCCACTGTTGGTAACCCAACTCCAGAGGAACGAAGGAAGCAGGGCCTCTGTGCCACCTCACAGCTAAACAAACCCTTCTCACCTGCAGATAGCTTTGGGTCTCAGTTATAAGCCTGATTGTGTATGGGTGGGGATGCGTGTGCATGTGGAAATCAGAAGACAACCTCGTGTCCTTCCTCAAGCACCATTCACCTAGTTTTTGACAAGATCTCTTTGGCTTGAAACTCACCAAGTAGACTCGGCAGGTGGGCCAGTAAACCTCAGGGATCAGTCTATCTCTGCCTCTCTAGTCCTGGGATTACAAGTGTGTGCCGGCATGCCTGATTTTTTATGTGGGTTCTGGGGATCCACCTTAGGTCCTCATGCTTTTGCCACAAATGCTTTACCAACGGAGCCATCTCCCAGCCCGTGAGCCTCATTTTGAAAAGCTAGTACCTCCACAGTGGCCAAGACACCTCCACTTTCCTTCTCATCCCAACTAGATGTCCAGATCATAACACCGAAGCCCACAGCTCTTGGGGGCTGCAAAGCTCAGGAACCATCAGGAGTGCCCTAAGGGCCCTCACTTGGGCAGGTAAGTGGTAAGGACAGGGGGTGCCTGGTAAGATGCTGTCCCTCCCTGTAGATGGGTGTCCAGGTGAACCACCTTCCTTCCTTGCAGGCTAATGTCCAGGTGAACAGACCTGACTTTCCCTCCTGGAACCTACAGGTGGACAGTGGGGCTCTGCTCACAGCTTTACCCTTCTGCGCAGAAGAGCAGTTCCACCCACTGGCTTGAGACCCCAAACAGGCTGCTTGACTTTCCTGTGCCTTGGTTTTCCCTTCTGTAAAATAAGACGAAGGGTCACCTGCCTCAGAAGGGCCAGCTGCTGTTTGTCAGCTCCCCCAGCAGGTTCAGAGGCCTGCCTGGCACTGATGCCAGGTCTCAACACTGCTCCCACAACCTCACATCTGCCGCTGCGCTCCCCCACTGAGGTACAAGGGTGCCGGGGCCTGGCTTCTACCCAGCTCGTTGAGGAGAGGATATCTGTTTTTGCGGACTGCACCCCCACAGTGACTAGTTTTGTCTTCTGAGCGCCCTGATAGCTTCTGTGTATTTTTAGCTGAGACACTGATACTCAGTTGACCCCACCTAGGGGAGAGACGTTACAGAAATTCCATCGGACAGATAGGTGGCCCTCCTGTGAGACATAGCTAAAAAATTTCACCACTTGTTTGAGATTCCAGTTGAACTAGATTATTTTTACCTGCTATGGCTGATCACCCTTGGTGTGGGCACCCAGGCATGGAGCGGCCTCAACCCAGGAAGGGTTCCTTCTGAGGCCACCAGGGGGCAGGTGCGTCCACCTGAGAGAGGGCACAGAGGCCTGGCCCTGTCTCTTCCCTCCGAAGTGCTCCCTCAACCGCCAGGACTCAGGCCACCCCATCTCCTTGTCACACTGGTTTCCTCTCTGAGACAGGGCTGGGGATCTAGCTCATTAGGGTGCCTGGGACCTCAAGGACCTGACTCACTAGCTCTGTACAGCCCCACAGTGCTAGGGCCCGGGGAGCAGCCAGGGCACATCAGTGACTCATGTGATCACCAGCAGTCCATGTTCTAGGACAGAAACCCCCTCCACCTGAGGGGACCTACAGTGAGGGGTACGTGGGAATTCTTTTCCACTCAATTGTCTATGAGCCTGAACCCGCCCTAAGAGTAATACTTGTTAAACTTGTAATAGAAGTTAAAGTGTCACCTATCATTAAAATCTAAATAAGATGTAAGTGGAGTCAGGGAGGACAGGTATGGGGTTGGGTTCAGCTGCTAACATGGCGGCATTTGCCAGATGCCTGCCAGGTGAAGGAAAGCATACCGGGCTAACCAAACAGAGCTGGGAGGGGAGACCTCCTTTGCAGGAGCAGCCTTGAGGCCACAGGAGGAAAGAGGGTGGTTATGGGATGCACAGCTGGTGAGGCAGACCCCACAGGACTGACCAGAGGGGCAATTCTGAGGATAGATTACTTTGCTCTCAGAGGCCTCTGGGTATCCTCAGACCTCCCTGGTGTCCTCAGAATCCCTATGTCAATCAGGACCCCCCCCCCCCCGCATCAGAAAAACCTGGAGTAAGATTTGTTGTGTCTTCAGCGTCCTTGGGGTTCCCTCAACCCCCCCCGGGTCCCTCAAAACCCCAATGTCAACAGGACCCCCCCCCCCCCCGCATCAGAAAGACATTGGGAAATGGTGACATTTTGACTTACCCAGCGAGGTGACAAAACATAGAAGTCCCCTGACCACAAATGGGCTAAGCCGAGCAGGTGCCAGGAAGCAGGGTGGGGGGAGTCGGGGGATTGGCAGCAGCTCTCAGGGCCCTGCCTCTCTTGAATGGGGTCTGGGCCTGGAGACAAGTGCCATGCCCATGACCAGATTGTCACAGCTGTGACATCCAGACGGGTTTTCTTTGCTGTTCAGACATGCTGCCCTGGTGGAGAGGCTCAGGAGAGAAGAGTCCAGCCAGGTACCACATGTATAAAGCAGAAGGCAGAGGGAACCTGGCCTACATCTGGCCGAAGGCCATGAGAGGAGCTTGGCTCAGGCAGGGCGCCGACCCATGGAGGCTTCCAATGAGAGGGATGTGCCGTCTCCAGCTGCTGCATCCTAGGGCAACTTGTTAGGCGGCAACTACAGGAAGAGGTGAAGGGCAGGACCAGACCCAGAAGGCCACAGCAGCCTGGGCCAGACTCAGGACAGAGACAAGACAGGCAGGTGGGAGGACAGTGTGAAGGGTGAGAGAAATGCACCTAGAGCCAATGGGAGGTTTGGGCTTACAAAGAGAAGCAAGATTCTTGGCAGGAGTGTCCTGAGACCCCGGACATCCCAGTGCTGGGAGATGTGACTTAGGGCTTCGTTCCGTATCAGCACAGGCAGAGGACGAGGTCCAGGGCTAGACTGGCTGCCCATGCAAGAGTGGCTTCCATCAGAGAGCAGCATTGCTGGGCAGGACCGCCTCCCTGCAGTCGTGGGTCCTCCCTTGCCTCCTGCTCATCTCCATCAGGGCTGATCTCAGCCACAGGCTCCAGGATGGCAGCCATGGGCTTCTGATGCCTGGACCAAGGACAAAAGGAAGAAACACAGGGTAGGAGGCATAAGGGAGACCCTTAGAGTCCTGGGACATGGTTTGGGTGCTGCTTCTACACACACCCAACCACTCAGTGCTGTCCTGAGTCCCCCAGGGCAGCTGGGGAGGTGGAAGCCAGCTTCGTTCCCAGCTGAAGGTCCTTCTGTGACGTGTGGGAAGGTGGGCTATGGAGCAGCCAGCAGAGCCGCCCATAGAGTAGTAAGCGTCCAAGGAGGTAGCCCTGTGTTGGGGAGATCCCCCAAGGCTACCAAGGCTATCTACAAGATTATGTGGGTAGAGATGGACCCCAGGCTTGGGGAGGAGGAGGTTGTACCCTTGCATACCGTAAGTGGGAGGACCTCAAGAGGTGGCCTGTGGCACAGGGCTAGTGAGTGGTGTGGGAAGGTTAGACCAATGGTACGGAGAGGATAGGCAAGTGGCCGCATGGTCAGG